CAGTTCTGATGTCCCCCCACACGTCTGTTTGCAGGTGGTCTTTGCTCTGGGGGCATTGTTCAACACCTTCTGGCTGATGGACGTGGGCAGGTTCATATTTGGGTGAGTGAGAAGAGCACATCTGTGCTCCCTGAGGTGAGGCCCATCCTTGTGTCCCACAGAACTGCTGCCATGGTCACACTTGGAATTAAAATTATTGGATTTTGAGGCCTCTGTCAGGCTGAGCTTCAGTGGCATTCCTGGACTTTGCAAGCCTTGCAGTTGTAATCACTCCTAGAACACTTAAAATCCCTTCTACTTTTAATTGCTCTTGGGACACTGCAGTTCTGTTTGGAATTCTGAATTGCACTGCCTTGTGTCTGTGCATTAAACCTACTTAAATATCTCTGAAATTCAGTCACCTCGGGCCTGCCAGCAGCTGATTCACCTTGCTGCTTTGCCTGTTGCAATTCACATGTTCTCTTTTTGTCCTTCCTTCTCCTGTAGGATTGGAGGGGAGTCCTTGGCCGTGGCCCAGAACACCTATGCAGTGAGCTGGTTCAAAGGCAAGGAGTTGAACCTGGTGTTTGGGTTACAGCTCAGCATGGCCAGAGTTGTAAGTGCCCAGCTGTGCCTTTCTTTCACTTGTGGAAGTGAAGGGGTTGTGGCTCATCAGGGCAGGGAAACCAGCACTTCTGATGCTCCTCAGGGAGCTGGAGTTAGAACCAGCTGAGAGAGAAGAGGGGAGCTGTGCCTCTTTTTTCTTGGGGTCATCTTCGGCCCCCTGGCCTGTGCTGAAGCCCTGCAGGTTATTTTCTGTCACCTGGGTGAGGAGGGAGCTGGTCCCAGCTGGGCTGGCTCATGTTCAGGCTCTTGTTCATCATCAGCTGAGCTGTAGTTACCTGGTGGGAGCCCTGGGATTGCAGCCATGGATCCCTTCTCTGGAGGGGAAAATGCTTCTTCCTGGGGTCTGTCAGGTGGGAATCCTGTTTGCTCTGACACATTAAATTTGGCTCAATTTAGGAGCTAATGCACTGTGTGAGGGGGGTTTTTATAGCACTTCCAAACTCCTCATGGAAACACTGTAATAGCTGGGTAAAATTTAATTTGTGATGGTTTATTATTGTTACAGTGATTAATTTGTTACAAACCAGCAGGGAATAATTTCATCCTTGTTCCTGGTGTTTAAGTTCCCTGTTTAGCACCTTTACCTGTTCAATAAGCAGGCCTGCCTGATGTTCCCTCTGAATTAATATGATTGTGATATCAATTATTCCTCACATGAGTCTGTTCTGCCCAGGGGAGCACAGTGAACATGAATATCATGGGATGGGTCTACTCCAGAGTTCAGGATCTCCTGGGTTACACTGGTCCCAGCACCCTGGGCTTGGCTCTCATGATAGGTCAGTAATGTTTGGATTTTGGCTTCCTGAGTTTGCCCTGCCTGCATGTTGATGCTTTATTAAGCATTTTAACTTTACAGATCTGACAAAAGCTCCACTCTTTGGGCCTAAAAGCCAAATTCCACTCGAGTTTTCACCTGACCATGTGGGGTTTCCCTCTTGCAGGGGGTGTAACCTGTCTCTTCTCCCTGACCTGTGCATTAATCCTGGCTTACCTGGACAGGAGAGCAGAGAAGCTGCTTTGTAAAGAGCAAGGGAAAACAGGTGAGTGCTGGGGCTGGACCTGCCCTGGGCTTCAGTCTCCTGGGACAGCCCCTTCCAGTTGCTCTGCACTCTGCAGGGTTGCAGGTGGGGTGATCCGTGGCTGCTGCTCAACATCTTCTTTATTATCATCATGATTTTCAGTTCATTTTTATGTCAGCGGGAAGTTTTACAGTTTTAAACACCAGTTTAACCTGGAGGAGGCTCCAGACAGGAGTTTTGGCAGCTGATCCAACATTTCCCTGACAAAGTATCTTTAATTCTGCTGCGTGAGGCTTTGAGAGGTTTGATCCATCAGCTCGGTGTGGGAGGGACAGTTTGCTCGTGGCTCTGCTGACTTAACCCTTGTGTGTGTTCTTCAGTGACTGCCACTGTGTGAGCTGGGACAGGAGGGTGACAGGGAGGTGCTTTAGCAGGAACTTGGGACCACCTGGATGTTTTTTAAGGGTGGGCAATCCCAGGTTTGGCTTGTGCTGACTGAGCCTGTGGTGTCTCCTCCAGGTGAAGTGATCAAGCTGACGGATGTGAAGGATTTCTCCTTGTCCTTGTGGCTCATCTTTGTCATCTGTGTCTGTTACTATGCAGCAGTTTTTCCTTTCATAGGACTCGGAAAGTAAGTGCCACTCACTTATCCTGCTTTTCCCTTGGAATTTGGGCAGACTTTTAACTAACTCCTTAAAGAACTTTACATTTTTCTGCTGAGCTTTGTGGGAAGTGCCACTGAGGGATGTGGGCTGAGCTCAGAAGCTAGAGGAATGTTTTATTTCCCAATTAAAACTAGACACAGATTTAAAACTCTGTGTGGAATTTGGTGTCCTGTGGAATTCCTTCCATGCCTATAAGCTCATTATTTGGGTTGTATGTTGGTTCTGTACTTTGGGTGTTTTCCTCAAAGTATCATTTGAATGGTCCTTACACAAAAATATGTGGAGTCTGATAAAAAGCTCCTAAATCCATTATAAATGAGAATCTGTGATATTTATGTCAAAGCTGTATTTAATTCTCTTGTAAAGTGGGTTCTTGTGTCTTTGTCTATCTTACTATTTATTTCTTGTCCTTCAATTGTGCATTTTCCTAAGTCTTTTTTTTTAATTTTAATTTTATTTATTTATTTATTTATTTCCTTCAGGGTTTTCTTTATTGAGAAATTCAGCTTCTCACCTCAAGAAGCAAGTGCAATTAACAGGTGTGTTGGGGTTGATCTCAGCTGATTTAATGAGTGACACTGCCACTTTCCAGGGGTGCAGGATGGATCTTTGGGCCCTGAGCAGTGGGAGGAGGTTTGGGATCTCCTGTTGCATTTGAAGTGGATAAACGGATTTCACGTGGCCCAGGGGATAACTGGGAGGTGTGGGTGTGTTTTTACTAAGGAAGTCTCAGCTCTGTCATTTGTGTTTTCCCAGCGTTGTGTACATCATCTCAGCCCCCATGTCCCCAGTCTTTGGCCTTCTGGTGGATAAACTTGGCAAGAACATCATCTGGGTTCTGTGTGCTGTGGTGACCACTCTGGCCTCTCACATCATGTTGGCTTTCACCTTCTGGAACCCCTGGATAGCAATGGTAACTATTTCTTGGAGATTGATAGTTAAATGTGATTAAACAAGCCATGGAGCTGATGCTGAATTATTATGTGTGTTTCGAGGAGGAGAAGACGCCTTACACTACAACTAAATTACTGTGCTACCTGCTCAATTTTCTCCTAGAACTTGCTATTTTATTATATTTCTGAAGCTTATTAATATTATTTAAACTGCCCTGTGCTGTATTGGATCTGGCAAACCTCAGCAGAAATCTTCATTACTGATTTCCCCTTCCTAGGGCAGATTCCCTGAAAAATGGCTTGTGGGGTTTATGGTGCTCGCCAGGGTCAGGCTTTAAAAACAGGGTCCTTGTTTTATCTTAATGCTAATTAATGCTCTTTAACGCTAATTAATAGAGTCTTTAGTGCTACTTAGTAGAGTTTGTGTGTCACTCCTGGATGAAGTTCTCTCTCCTCCTAAACGTGCATATTTATTTAGAGTGCTGTTATAAGAAATGTTGCTTGAGCTCTGTTTTTCACTTCTGGGAGAAGGGGGAAGACCAATATGTAAATTTTTGAGCCCTCTGCAGCAGAAATGCACCTCACCTGACCCGTGTTTCTCGTTGCTGTGTCCCCAGTGCTTGCTGGGGGTGGCCTATTCCCTGCTGGCCTGTGCCCTGTGGCCCATGGTGGCCTTTGTTGTCCCGGAGCATCAGCTGGGAACTGCCTATGGCTTGTGAGTACCTGCACTGGGTGTCTGTGCTGCTGGTGGGGGGTCCAGAGGGGGCACCAGGATACCCCAGGAAAGGCTGGCACAGCTGGCATTGTTCAGCCTGGAAGAGGAGAGCTTCAGGATGACCCAACTGTGGCCTTCAGCACCTGAAGGAGCTACAGGAAACGTGGAGATAGACTGTTGACAAGGGGGAATGGCTTCAAACTGCCAGAGAGCGGGGTTAGATGGGATATTGGGAAGCAATTCCTGACTGGGAGGGTGGGCAGGCCCTGGCACAGGTTGCCCAGAGAAGCTGTGGCTGCCCCTGGATCCCTGGGAGTGTCCAAGGCCAGGTTGGAGCAAGCTGGGCTAGTGGAAGGTGTCCCTGCCCATGGCAGGGGGGGTTACACAAGATAACCTGTAAATTCCCTTCCCACCCTACCCATTCCATGATTCTTTGCAGTGACCCTGCTCCCATCCTCCTGATCCAGGAATATCCAGCAGTTCTGAGGCGTCAGTGGGTCCCAATTCCTGCGGCTTTGTTGCATCAGGAAGTTCTGGGTCGCTCAGGATGTGGGGGTGGGACAGGCACAGAAACTTCTGCAGAACTGTGGAGTGGGGACTGTCACGTGCCAGGCAAGTGGGGGGAAGTTCATCTCCCTGTTTGTGTTCAGCATGCAGTCCATCCAGAACCTGGGGCTGGCAGTGATTGCCATCGCAGCTGGGATGATCCTGGACACGAGAGGATATTTGTTTCTGGAAGTTTTCTTCAGTGCTTGTGTTTGCTGTAAGTGTTAAACCCTCTGAAAACAGATTCTGTGCATCCAGGGAGCTTAATTAGGCTCTGTTTCTTAATATTTCCTGTAAGCCAGTAATATCTCCTCTCTTAGAGGCTTCAGCTCTGAAAGTATCTCAAACTTAGTGTTTTGTGGTTTATTGAAGTGACTCGGTGTCATAGTTTGTGTTTCAAGAAAATGTACTAAAAGGGTAGACAGATGATACTTTTACAGTTTATGGTGGCTGTTTATGAATGTAACTAACACTAAAATAATCCTTTCTGAATTACCAGATTTGTGGGAATATCAAAAGCAATTAAGAGATGCTGGTGGAAAACCCTCCTCTCAGTTACAATTATCATGAATATTTTAGTTGTTACTTAGTTGTAGGTTAAAGCTGTTCCTCTGTCCTTGCTGCACAGTTCTGTCAGCTAAAACTGTTCCTTCTCTGTTTCAGTGTCACTGATAGCTGTGGTCACGCTGTATTTTGTGAATCACCTCACAGGTAAGGGTTTGCAGCTGCTTTTGGTATTTTTTAATCATAATTCTTGGAGTTCTCAAGGGTATACCTGTCCCTTTGGCTCACTGGGACACTTTAAACCTTGGAACTCTGTGGAGGATACTCTGCAGGTGTTACTATATTAGGAAAAAAATCTCTTTTTATTTCTTCTCAAACTGGAGTGTACATGAATCTGTGAATGTAAAAACCGAACTGCTTCCTTAATTTGGGTCCTGACTTTGCTTGCTCACCTGACTAAGAACATGCTGCTCTTTACCTCAGTTCCTCCTTCTGTAAAATCACTCCCCTGATTCCTCCAGTGCTCTTGAGAAGTCCTGCAGTGAGTTTTGCTGTCCCAGCTACAAAGCAAGGCCAGCTGGGAGGGTTTCAGGGTGCTCATTTCTCTCGTTGCAGGTGGGGACCTCAACTGGTCTGCAAAGAAAAGGGAAAAACTGCAAAAAGCAGCAGCCTCTGAGTAAGTACCAAAGCCAAAAGATGTCAGTGAAATGCTGAAGCTGAAGAGGTTCAGTAGATCCCTGTGTCAAGTCAGTCCCTCCTGCTGTTGGTAGTGGATGTTGTTTTCCTTCTCACCAATCAGTAGCAGGATTTCCTATTCCTGCCTCCTCTCTGAGGGAACATTCAGAGGAAGTGGCAGCAATCAGGTGTCTTGTCCTGGCAAAACCAGATCTCCCTTTAGAAGGAATAACAAAACTGATCCCATCTGTGGAATTCCAGCTGTTAGGATGGGAAGAACATGTTTTGTTTTTTTGTTTTTTTTTTTTTAAATTTTTGGAATGCTTTCTGTTCTGCCCCAGTTCAGCTCAGCAGGTCTCACATCTTGAAGCTCATTTGCCTTTAATCTTGTTGGAATTCCTTCCTTTTGAATGGGTAACTACAGCTCACCTGCAGATATTGTGTTTATATAATGTATTTATTATGTTTGGTGTATTGTTATATAATATACATGTTATATTTGCTCCTGATAAATACTTTGCTGATGAGGCAATGGATTTATGGACTTCTCTAAAACTGGACTGTGTAACTGTCCATGTGGAGATACTTTAGTTAATCCCAAAAATCCCAAAGGGAGGTCTATCCAGGTGACCTGTGGGCTTAACCAGGGTTTTGGTTCTTGTTCTTTTCACACACCAACCTCCAGGAAAACTCAGGGGAAACTAAAACCTGCTGAGCCTTCTGGCTTAGTCCTCATGAGTCTCATTCCTCCAGCCAAAAGCTTCCAGCCAGTTTTTAACACAAATCCAACAAAAAATCCCCCAAAGCTTGGAATTCTGTGGCCTGCCTGGCCCAGGGTGGGGTGTGTGCCACAGCTCCACTGTTTCCTGGGGGTGCTGGGGGATTTACTACCTTGGACCAGCCTTGTCAGGGCTCTCCAGTACTGAACCTGCTTGATTTTCTTTATAAATACTTCCCTTTTTTTTCAGAAAAGAAAGTTGAATAGCAAAAGGCATCCCGGAGTGGGGGAACTCTGCTCAGCTCCATGGCAGCTTGAAGAGTGCCAGTGTTTAGTTTGCACCCCGAGGAAGATTAACCACCAGCTGGGGGGTGGGGGTTACAGGCAATGCCTCAGTTTTCAGCTTTGTAACCAGTTTTAATTAATGCCAAATCATCTTTGAATTGGGTTTTAGAGCCTTTTGCACTGTGCTGAAGCTCTGCCTTGGTGCTCTGCCAGCCAAGGCAAGCACGTTCATTTAGGACATTTGATATCAGACTTTTCTGTGCTGCACGTGGTGGTGGGGTGGAGATTTCTGCCTCAGATGGCATTTTTGGTTCTGCGAGGAAGCTCACCCAGAGCTTGGAAAGGGGTCACTGTTGCTGCTTTTGTCACTGTCTTAATGCAAACCACTGTCTGGAGGGTGTTTACAGCCTGGGCTCTGGTTCTCTTTGACACTCACATGGAAAAAGAGTTGCAAATAATCGGGTCAAATTGCCTTTTTTTTTTGTAGGAGATTTAAGAATTCTGCAGGCTGCTGAGCAGCCTCTTATTGCCTTCTTGACAATTGATTCTCTTTGTATTGTAATCTTTATTTCAAGGGGGGGGGGAAACTTGTTTAACTTGTTTAATAGCCAGTAAAGCTGTTACAGAAGCTCCCTGAGCACGTTGTAATCTGTGGGGAAAAAAAAAAAAAAAACAAACCAGAAGGTTTCTCTTTCTACTGAAATCTTGGAATCTAAATAAAAGGAAACTACAGAAAACAGCCTCTCTCTTTCTTTATGTTGAATTGGGGTTACCCAGACACATCTGAGTGTCATTTAATCTGATATCCACATTAAAAACGGGTATTAAAAGTAAACCTGCACCCACCAGGGTTTGCACTGCCAGTGCAAATATCTTAAACCTGTTTTCTTTTGCAGAGCAGAAGAGCAGGAGAGACTCAGACGTCAGAATGAAGATGACTTGGCTAAATTACTGCCAAAAGCTGATGACTTTAGTTTAAGGAATAAATACCTCTCCAGACTGGGAGCTCAGGTATCCATAACACAGCGGGGGGCTTAGAAGTGAGGACAGAACAAGGAGATCTTTCTTTTTAAGAGCTTGGATGTCGTTTCTAAGAGCCAGCAAATCACCCTCTCGCTGCAGTCCAGAAATAAGAGTTAATTAAACGCCTAATGAGGGAAATGACCCAATGGCTGGCGAAGCAAATAAGTTGAGGAGCAACTTCTCGTGATCCCTGATGTCTTAATTTTATTGTCTTGCAGCTCCCAGATAATTACTCCTCCTCTTTATCAACCCTGGCACACAGAAGCGTGTTGAAATAGCAGCCTGGCCCTGTGGGAAATCTGGGAATGCCTGGAGTTTTCCTGGGACACAACCCCAGCACGAGCAGCAGAAGGATGCTCCTGGGCCTTGCTGCAGGACTAGAGCCTGGTTTGGAGCGCCCAGCTCCAAATCCTGGCACTGGGGGTAGTTTAGAGAGCCCCTGCTGAGGAATCTGGTGGTTGGAATCTGCTCCCTCCTGCCTGTGAGTAGCTGAGTCAGCAGCGAGGCTGGACCTGCCTGGTGTCTGCTTTAGTTGCTGGGAGATGAGCCTTGTTGTTGAGCCTCTCACATCGGGGCACCTTTTGTTACTCCTGGCAATGCCCCTGTTTTTCATTTTTCCTGTAGGAAAAAAAGGGGAGGAAAAACTCCCCAGGGAATATTTGAGTGGAAGCTCCACAGCTGAGGAAGGGCCAGCCCCAGGTCAGTCACCCAGCAATAACCTCGGGTGGGTCCTGAATCGTGGCAAAAATGCTGTGTTTTTAACTCAAAACTGGGAAAAAAGTGAAATGCAGGAAGTGGCTTTTGCTTTCAGTAGGAGAAGTTTCTGTTTTCCCCGTGGTTCTGTTTCCCCACGGTTTCAGTGGCAGGCTCAGTGCTGAGCAGGGAGTTCCTGGGGGCTCCTCCAGAGCGCATTTGGCTTGGGTTTAATTACTCATCAAGGTAATTGGATAAGATAATCCTCAACCGAGCTGAGCTTGCCTTACAAAGCAAGAGTGTGTGGCTTTGTGGAGCACGGGGTGTGCAGGGATGAGTTCCTTGGCTCATTCCAGGGAACCCTTTCGTGCCACACAGGAGCCTTTGGCAAATTGTTTGACTTTGCAGAGAAATAGTTTGATATAATAAAAATGTTATTTTATGTGTAGAATTTGTTTGTTTGTTTGTTTTTCCTGCAGTAATTTAAGCAGACCTGGAATTCCTGGTCTTAAGGTTTCAGTGGAGATTCTTTCATGTTCCTTAAAAACTAAAATCATCTCCCTGAAGGACTAAAGCCAGGAGTATTTTGGTTGATAATTCTGGATACTGAGGGACAATTTAGGTGTGAGCTGTGCTGGTGCTCCCTGGGCTCCCCTGGGATCTGACCTCTGACAGGGTTTGGTACAGGTTGCTTTGTTTCCCTGGGAACTTGGGAATTTGGGGTGTTTTTTAATAAAAGCTTGCAGTGGATACTGGCACCTGTATTTTTTAGACTGTTCAGTGATGGGTTGTTGCCTTTGGTGGTGTTTTCTGAGCAAACCCAACTCCTGCTTCCCCTGAGAGTGGGAAGAGTTTGAGGGAAGTGGATCTTTGGGAACCAGTGGGGAAGTTTCCCCCACTGAGGGGTTGATGCATTTTTCTTGGAGGAAGGGGGGAAATTCATTTCTTGTTCTCCAGGCACAATCTGAGTGTGGAAAAGGGTAGTGATGTAAATGTTTTACTGATCTCACTTATCTCAGAATCTCCTTGGCTTTGGAATTATTGTACCACTTCCTTCATAACCTGCTGTATGGATCGACTGGAGTTCCCAAATGGCTGGGGAGCACTTTTGGAAGTGAGGGGAGGTGGGAGAGATGGAAGTGGGGAGGGCAGAGGTGGGAAGGGATGTTTATCCCAACAGATAATATCCCATTTTCTGGGCTATCTGTCACTAGAGGTCAGCACTGCCACGCTGCTGAGCGAGGAGTGTGTTCTGGACTGGGATGAAGAGCCTTCAAGGATCTTACATGGCACAGGGTGCCCAGAGGAGCTGTGGCTGCCCCAGGATCCCTGGAAGTGTCCCTGGATCCCTGGAAGTGTCCCTGGATCCCTGGAAGTGTCCAAGGCCAGGTTGGAGCAACCTGGGCTGCTGGAAGGTGTCCCTGCCCAGGGCAGGGCGTGGCACTGGATGGGTTTTAAGGCCCCTTCCAACCCAAACCAGTCAGGGATTTTATGATTCCATGGAATAGGGTCCAGGTTTTGGAAAAAGCACCTGTTTCCCATATTCCTGTTGGATATTCTGGTTGTTAACTCTGAGCCAGCCCAGGGCAGAGCTCCCTGAAGCTGCTGCTGTCCCACCCCACGTGCCCACAGCCACTGTGTCGTGTCTCTGGTGGGTGTGCAGCCAACTGTGAGCCCTGCATTGGATGGAAAAGCACAGACTGGTCAAAAACACCCTAAATTTTCCATTCCAGCACCCAAGTTCTGTCCTCCACGGATAAACATTTTGTGTGTTCAATGGTTTCTTTTATAACCACGCGTGCATTGCAGCACAGGGAGCTCTGCTGAGCCCTCCCTGCCCAGGCCTTGGTTGTTCCCATCACAAAACCTCCTTGCTTTTCGTACCTGCACTTCTTCCTCGAGCTCCTTCTGCTGGCACAGTCCTGGGGGGCTCCAGGAGGACGGAGAAGTTGCTGCTGTGGTGACCCAGCCAGGTGGTCACATCCCCAAGCCCTGGGTTCTCTGCAGCTGAACTCGTTTCCAAGGTGGGTAAATCTTTGGTCTTCTTTATTATATCGTCAGGGGAGGCTCAGGTTGGACATCAGGAGAAATTTCTGCATGGAAAGGGTGGTCAGGGGCTGCCCAGGGAGGTTTGGAGTCCCCAGCCCTGGAGGTGCCCAGGGAAGGACTGGACTGGCACTCAGTGCTCTGGGCTGGGGGACAAGGTGGGGATGGGGCACAGGTTGCACTGGATGACCTTGGAGGACTTTTCCAAGCTCGGTGATCCTGGAATTCTGTGGTTATTCCATGTGTTACTGAGTGGTTTTGGGGTGTCTGGAGCAGCTTTGTGTGTCCCAGCTGGAAGGAACCACTGGAACAGCTCCATCTGGATCCTGTAGCTACAGGAGGAAAAGCTCCTCATCCATTTAGGATTTGGGGCTGGAATCTCCTCGTGCTGCAGGAACCAGGAGGAAGGAGAGAGTTCCTGTCCTGCTTCCTCTGCACAGGCAAAGCTGCTCTTCTGGCATTTCCACGGAGCATCTGTAAATGGCTCTGTAAACCAGGGGCTGCTCCTCAGATGATCCAAGTGATGTTATTACAGTGCCTTAATTAATTGCCTTGTTTACATGTTGACAAAGCTCTGCCTGGGCACGGGGGAAGCAGCTGGGGATGGCAGGAATTCAGGCTGGAGCTGCCACCCCCCAGGTCTGCTCTGCCTGGGATGGGGAAGGAACAGAACTGGCCACTCCAGATGGAGGTGAGGGAAGGAACAGGGGGAAAGGGCTCACTCAGGAGGGAGCAGATCCATGGGAAAATCCCAGATGTCTCTTAAATCCTAGTGGGAATTTGGTTAAGTTACTTGACACTGAGGATTTAAGGACTTCTAAAATAAAATCTGCTTTATTCACAGCCCAGTGAATGTCTACAGGTGGTCATGAGCAGTTTTTAGTGAGACCAGAGGTGATATCCCAGTGTATGAAATCTGTCACAAGTGATGGGCACACACGTGAGGAGCTGAGGGAAAGCTGAAGCTGTGGCATTCCCAGGCTTCATTTCAGTCCCAGAGCTCGGAATTTGGATTGATTTATTTCCATGCCAGTGGATCCTGCCGTAAATACACTGATTTATAAGGTATTGACTGCCATGTCAATGTGATTTTAGAGCTGACTCCAGGAAAAACCTCCCACTGCTGGTGCTGAAACACAACCCTGGGTTGTGCTGCAGGGGAAACCACAGCAAATCCCCTCCTTTTTAAGACCTTTTGGAAGGGCTCCCAAAATGAGGGACAGCAGAGGTCACCTGTTTTGGGGTGGAATTGTTTGGGATTTTCAGGGAATCAGGAGGCTGAGCAGGGGAAAGCACGTCCTGGGGTTTGGAAATACCCAAAATTTGCATCTGTGCTCCCCAGCAGGTTGGCCCTTGGGATAGACAAGGGGAATGGCTTCCCACTGCCAGAGGGCAGGGATAGATGGGATATTTGGAAGGAATTCCTGGCTGGGAGGGTGGGCAGGCCCTGGCACAGGTTTTGCCCAGAGAAGCTGTGGCTGCCCCTGGATCCCTGGGAGTGTCCAAGGCCAGGTTGGAGCAACCTGGGCTGGTGGGAGGATCCCTGGATGGAACTGGATGAGCTTTAATGTTCCTCCAACCCCAACCATCCCGTGGTTATGGCATTGTGGGCACCTTTGGTGACATTTGTGTCCAGATATGAGTTGTGTAAAGGTGTCAGGGAAGAATTTCTTTCCTTTTCTTCTCTTTCTTCTTTTGCCCTGCGTGTTTTCACTCTCCCTTTGCACAGCCTGCTGATACAAAGGCTTTATTCATGAGCTTAACCTAATTACTGCCCTCAGAAACAAAGCCTGGTTGACAGTGAATATCCTTTTGATATCCATCATCTGAATATTGCCTAACAAAGTTAGCAAATGGCCTCCAAATGAACCAAAAGGATTCAGTGGCTCATCCAGCAAAAAGGAAAAAAAAAAAATGGATCAGGGTTTTACCCAGGCTGCCAGAAATGTTTAAAATTCTCAGTGCATGGCTTTGCTGGGGGATTAATATGCATTTTTTTTTTCCTGTCTTGAGATGAAAAACACTGTCTGGATTTAATGCAACACTTCCAAAATTGCTGATGTGAGTCTGGGGGAGAGCTGTTTTATAAACACACTGGAGGGTTTAGCAGAGACAAAGTTCACTTCGAGGAGCTGCAACACTTGTAATCAGCAGCTGAAATGTATTCCTGCATTTGCAGGACCAAAAGGCAGGAATTTAAGTGCCTTCATGTATTTTTCCTTGCTTGGAACAAAGGGGATCCATTTTTCAGGGGAAGCAAAGCTCCCCTAGGGTTGAGTTGGCTCTGGGGAGATAATTAGGAGGGATCAATAAATAGTGATGGATCGAGTTTTGGCCTGCCTGGCTGGGTCCCTGACTGGCTCAGCTGCTGCTGCAGTCACCTCCCAGGATCTCAGGGTTGGGTTGACCCAGGGAATGGTTTTACAGAGTGATAGAATTGTTAAGGTTGGAAAAGATCTCACCAAGTCCAGCCATCAACCAGCACCACCACGTTCACCACCAAACCACGTCCTCAGGTGCCACATCCACAGGGTTTTTGGACACTTCCAGGAATGGTGACTCCACCACTAAACTTTCTATTCAGTCAGATCTCTCTGGGGTTTGTGAGAACGTTGGTTTCAAAACCTGACCTGAAAACTCATTTTAGCCCTTGCTGACCCTCCTCTCCAGGTCAGGATTCCAGGTCAGGAT